ATCACTGTGGGGTGATAATCTTCTGAGAGTTCTGTAAAGTCTAACAACAGTAATATCCCATCATAGACCAGGAAAGCCCCACTGACCGAAGGCAGAAACAGCACTGAGACCACAGATTCAGCTCCAAGCACAGCAACAATCTGAATGCCAAATACATATGACCTATTCACACCATAGTGTTTTGCTAAATCACTACTTTTCTAATGCATGGCAATGCAATGCACAATATTGCGGTACTATTATTGCTGCACGCTATTGCTGCTGGGAAATGCATTGGAGTGCCATTCAGATTGAACCAGTGTACCTGGCTTGCACTGCATTGCACGATACGGTGTGCTAAAGGCACTACCTTTTTGTTCAACACACGCCAATGCATTGCACACTATTGCGGTACTGTTACTGCGGCACGCTATTGCTGCTGGGAGGTGCATTGGGGCGCCATTCAGAATAGCCCATAATAGAAGTCACCAGCACTTGATGATATGTGCAAGAAGTAAAGCACTTTTTATTCAATTGTCACATGCGTCAAACAGCCAACGTTTCGGGGCCACGCAGGGTCCCTTCTTCTGGGCGACATAGTGACCATGAATAGCAACACAACGTACCAGACCAGTGCACCTGGCTTGCAGTGCATTGCATGATAGAGTGTACTAAAGGCAGTATCTTTTTGTGCAACGCCGATGCAACGCACAGTATTGTGGTACTATTATTGCTGCGCGCTATTGCTGCTGGGAGGTGCATTGGGGTGCCATACAGAATGAATAGCAACCCAAGGTACCAGTCCATCCGGCCTGCATTGCAGTGCACTGTGCAATAGCGTGTGCTTAATGCACAGAAACAGTGCCTTGAGCGCAATCTTATGGTGTGAATAGGCCCTTTCAAAGTTATTTTATTCAGGCACTTTAAAGGCTTCTACAGAAGAGTTCTAACTACATACGTCTACAAAACTAAGGCTAAGTATAACAGTATTACATCAGATTTACTTAAATATCATCATTACCTCATAGACACACAATACTGTACTTCTAGCTTTGTGTCCATTGGAAAGCCAATACAGGTTACAGTTACAGTGTATCAAAATAATTCATCTGATATGAATACCTTTTAAACATGTTTGTAAATTCATGTAAAAATCTCTGTTGATACAAAGCTATATAAGGGATTGTTAAAGTAATATTCCCTTTTCTCTCTCCTTAGTATATCAGATCCTGGCTGGTTACCTGCATTAGAATTCTTATTTATTTGCGTCTTTTTTCAGTACGAGAAATACTGAAGAATTCCGCTTTGTGCATTTGTTGACTTTTCCTCCGTTCACACCTCTGAGTCTGTATTTTTATGCAATGTTTAGAACATTTTTGTTGCATGTTTGTAATTCATTTTCCATGGAACACGATGCTCTTGTGTCTTTTTTCAACCTGGCTAATGATGTAACTATGCATTTTCAATGCATTTTACATTGTTTTGACCAATGAAAGTGAAAGAAAGTACAGTTGGAATAATAGTTTCCATCATCCTGCATTGTAGTGCAATGGCAGACGCATGACACACAAGTGTGGACAGGGGCTATAGATTTACCCTTCATTTCCCCTTCACACCTGTGCGATTTAAAGTCATTCAGCCGTCATGCAACAATGCATGGCAAAAGGAATCCCATTCTTTTCTATGGTTCCCGTTCACACCCTATGCATTGCACTGCAGTGTGACTTCTAAAATGTGCATGTGAATCTTCTGGTGTGTTTTTAGCTCCATGGACTTCATTAAGAGCACATGAAAATACACGTAACCTGCACTTCATGTGTTTTAAAGCATGACAACAAGCTCTCACCTCCTACCAAACAATACTTTATTTCACATTCATTGGCCGAAACACAAATGCATAACGCATGAAAACGTATTCAAACGCATGAAAAGCAAGCAACAAAAATGTGCCTAATAAACACATTAGAAAATGCAGACGTAAAAGTGTGAATAGTGTATAAATGTCTTTAAAACGTTTTTGTTTTTTTTAGCATGCATTTTAAAGAGTTTTACTATGATTCAGGGTGCAATTTACAACCTTTTTCTGGCTTTATACATTTTAACGCACAATATGTTGTTAGATAACACTATATGTTTACTTGCAGGTCATTTTACCATTTCATATGAGAGTATTTCATACATAGATAAGCCTTTTAATTTTCAATGCAGGAACTTTAAATCTCAGATAATAGTATTTAATGCATGGATAGATTAACCCTTGCAGCATAGTTGCAGCCAGTCAAGCACTTTAGCTATTTAACGTTTCAACATATGGATTGTTAACCTTTTGCAGTTTTGCAGCCGTTAACCTGTCCCTTTAATCTTAAATGTATTTCATGCATAAAACATTAACCCTTTGCAGGTAAAGTACACCTCTTCCCAGTAACCCTAAATTGGTTCTTAACCCTTAGATAGCAATGTTTGCTACTGAAGACTGAAGAGCTACAGTGCTAAAAAATGAATTAAGGAACAAGCTGGCTGCAGTAACTTTTAGCTAAAAATGTTAATTTTACTTTTGATCAATATAATAAAGTTCTGAGTTGTTGTACCCTTTTCCTTTTATTTTTTTGTGCTTTGTTACCTGCTGAAAGCTATCACTTGCCAGCTCCTGTGCCCAGCTCCCTTCTTCCACTTGCGACTGGAAGAAAACGACCCCCACACCTGGGCCAGCAAAAACTGAGAACCTGGGGGGAAGAAGGGGGGCTACTAAAAGGTCAGGGGGAGGGGGAACACCCACTGTTTTAAGCTGGTTTATGGCCCCCCCTACTGCCCACAGACTGCATAGGCTTTGCTACAGACTACAGACAAGTGTTCTATACTAGAGAGAGCTAACACTCTTCTTGTCTTGGCCCTTGGCTGGTTAAGGAATTTCATGAAAAACTAGACCAAGTTTTATATAGGCGACTTCTTATATGATTCTGCAGATCAATCACAGCTTGGATTTCCACTTTTAGCACTGAAATATTTTACTGTTATATCTGGCAAACCCTCACTACAAACTTGATCTAGTCTATTATCCATCTATTTATCTATCTATCTATCTATCTATCTATCTATCTATCTATCTATCTATCTATCTTTGTATCCAATGTTTAGGACATCTACGCATGGCCCACATGAAGAGAAATTATTTATGTAAGGAGTGACTTTGGTGTGACCTCACATGACATATAATAATGATATTTGCTTAGCTAATGAAAAAACAAAACTGATCATTTGGAAACGTTCAGTATGTCCATTCTTGTTCACTATCCACTGAGTAGAAATAAGTCCATGTCACACCACACTTACCTTTTCACCCTTCTGGCACAGATAATGAAATATCGGCTATCAGTCAAGATAAATGTAAGTAATCAACAATTCAAATTGTTGAATTATCTTTCTTAAGTTCACCATAAACATTAGAATTGAATCATAAAGTCTTTGTACAATTTCCTTTAGATTTACCAAAACTATCTAATATGAGGACCTACCTAAAGTATTCAGTCAGTTTGTATTCAGCCAGGCAGGCCCTTGTACTACATGCAGTAATTGTTGGTAGATCTAAAGGTGATTGTCAGTCTAATTGTAATGTGTGTGGTGATCCTTACACCAGATGAATGCATAAAGCAATCACAGGGAAATCTGCCAGGAAAATAAAAACAGTCTGCTGTAAAAATGCACTTTTCCTCCAAAACATGTTGGCCAGGGTAATTCATTAAAGGGGCTCATTCTTGGTGATGTGCCCAATGATTGATTGACAAACAGGCCAAGCAGGACGACAATAACAGGTACTTCTGGCTCAGTAGAAAACTATGTGAGTTAGTGCTGAATATTCCTTTTTCTATGGAGAAAAGAAAACACATATTTTAACATGTGCTGGCCTTATCAACTCATTGGCCAGATTGGAGATTGTGGCAGATCTGCGCAGCACAGAGGTGTGATAAGGTTCTGGCAGATGTGTCACCATCCATAATTCTTGGTTAGATATCTAGTGTATATGACCAGCCTCAGGGTGCATAGACTTCTCGATTTTCATCTATTTTTGCCAAAAATTAGCATGATCAGGATACATTTATCTAATGTCAATGGTTATATAACTGTGTGCAGAGAAAATCGTTACACAGGGAAGGATTTGACTATCAATAAAAAGAAATAAATCACATTAATAAAGTGACACTAAACTCAGGAACTAAAGAGCTGATCTGTTATGTCTGTTTGCCAGATCCTGCTGCCTGGCAGTGGTTGGATCATACATGCATGTTGGTGAAGATCTATAGGAGGCTTTAAAGTAACATTAAACTCAGGAGTTAAATCTTAGAAATACATTCAAATATCTTATTTATTAACAAGAATGTATCTTATTTGTGTATCAATCAGCTGTAAACCTTCAAATCATCTCTGAATTGGTGCTGACATTGTCCTTCCTTCTGGAGGGTGGCTACTTTTGTTCCCCATGGTTCCATGGTTCCATATCAGGGGTAAAAGAATAGAGATTGGACATGATTTTCTAACCTGGCCCTTAATTGCCCTTGGTAAACCTCGACCAGCAGATGCCTGGTCCAACCAAAAATGCCTATGAGCCTAGGTGTGCATGATGATTTATCAAGGCAGAAAACCAGCTTGATACTTATCTGATCAATACAGTGCTTGGATTGCATGTCACTGATATAATGGTTTTTGTTTCATTGCATTCTTTTTTTATTGTTGGAATGTGGCTGGAAAAGATGGGTTTTGTGCACACCCCCTGCCACGAAGGTGGTCTTCTTAATTTAACAGCTCCCCACACACATATATACACACAAGGAACATTTCCAAATTCTGCTGTCCTGCTTGGTCTATAATTAGTGAGTAAGTTGAGCTTAAACCCCAGTGAGCCCCCTCCCCTATAACCTGTGTTAAGCAGCTGTTCCTACACTCGTCCTGCCCCTTGTGTGTGCCAGTCCTCACCCCCCTCAGAGTGTGTCCAATCCTGGTGGGGTGCAGATCACATTTCGGTATAATTGCAAGACATAACCAGGCCGGTGGGCGATTGAAAAGTCTCACAACTGCTCCGACCCCCAGTGCTGCTCTCTGCTCTCGGGCCTCAGGTAAGAAAAGGGTGAGGGGGGCCTGAAAAGATACCCCTTCAACAAGTGGTAACATTCCTTGTGTGAAGAGAGGGGAGACAGCACCTAAAAAGACAGGGGTCTTGTCATCCTGCACCTCCCTCAGGCAGTAGTGGATCTTAATATTAATTTGCAGATATGATAGAGTGACACAATAATTGAACTCTCACTTGCAAAGAAAGTAAAATTACTGCTGAACCTCCCTCATTCACAAAGATCAAAAGGATTCTAGGAAAAGCAACCTGCCAATACTTCACTATATTAGTAAGATCTCTAATTTTATCCTGTGAGATCTGCGCACAACTGCTGAGCACTGAAATCTAGACTAAGCTTTGGAATGGGAAGACTGGTGTCATTAATGTGACCCTGACCACAGTCCGACTATGTCATGTGCTGTGTGTCACCTGAATAGAACTCTCTGATATGTTAGTATCTATCTATCTATCTATCTATCTATCTATCTATCTATCTATCTATCTATCTATCTATCTATCTATCTATCTATCTATTTATCTCTATCAAGCTATTTTCTTCCTATCCTTATTTTCATCCTGCTTTGTCAATTCCTATTTTTAATCTTGACATCACATCTTCAGGCACTTCTGTCTTTAAAGCTGGAGAGTAAATATATTTCATGAAGTCACTGTTTCCTTTGTGTTAGGATGAAACTTATGTAAAAGCAGCCCAAAATCACACTTGTTGCCCATGGTGATCAACTAGTTCTTATATTTTGTTCTTTGTGAAAATAAAATATATCTGATTGATCACTGTGGTCAACAACTCCTCCAGTTTAATTTTTAAAGTAGCTTCCTCTGTTTTACTCCAGTCTAGTACTAGGAAACCACTGTGATTGGTGTTTTTACTTACATGTTTCACTTTTGACAAATGATGTTTGTTTAGCTGTTGCCAAATGATCATTATATCTATGAAAATGTCACCAAATGACCATTGTATCTATGGTAATGTCACCTAATGATCATTATATCTAGGAGAATGTCTCCTAATGATCATTATATCTAGGAGAATGTCACCAAATGATTATTATATCTAGGGGAATGTCACCAAATGATTATTATATCTAGGGGAATGTCACCAAATGATCATTGTATCTACGGGCATGCAAGATAGTGGAAAGCTGAATAACTGAACTGCTCAGGTTTGGGCAGTATAACAACATAAACTCTTTTTTTTTTTTGCTGTGGATAATGCACGTGCACGCTAAAGAAAGGAACGAGGGCTTTGTTCTGTGTATCCATAAATCTAAAATCCTAGGAATGATAGATATTTTGTGACTTTTTTGCTTTACATTCTATAGAAATAATCTGTTATCTTTGTTGAGAACTTTGTGAATAGCTGTTAAAGTTTGTCTGGATTCCTGACTGGATGACATGTATAGAACTGGTTGTATGTAGGTTATTAGGACCAGCTGTTAGTTCTGTCAGTGATGGGGGAGGTAACACATGTCATATTAAAGGACTATATGGCAGACAGGAGGTATTGTGGCCTTCAGTCCCCTTCACACATTCACACTAAAATCCTTCTGACATTTTGCTTTCTCCTTCAGCCCCTTAACTGGAAGGTGTAACATTAAATGTGATTATGTGCAGCAATATGAGACGCACATTCCCATGATGCTCACCTCAGAAGTATGGGTAGTGTGTAATAAGAAGAAAAAAACGTGGACTATTGTAAACAGTCCATAAACGTGGAACAGACCGTGTCCTAAGTTTTATAAACAACTTGGAATCATGGGAGTTATATAATGTCTTGAAACTCACCTCACAAGTGGATTAGACACCCCATAACCCAAATGTTAAAAGAACACCCTGCCATCATATTGTCTCTCTCCCAGGTCGAGATCACCTTTAAAGGACATTCCCAGGGGATCCCAAAATAGACAAGAATGCCCAGTTGTCCATCTCTTGTACCAGCCCGCCCCTCTTTGCCATCTCATATAACATCTGAGTCATGCAAACTGCAGCCATAGGCTCCCAAGTTTTCCTTACAGGGTGGAAAATGATTATTATATCTAGGGGAATGTCACCAAATGATCATTGTATCTACGGGCATGCAAGATAGTGGAAAGCTGAATAACTGAACTGCTCAGGTTTGGGCAGTATAACAACATAAACTCTTTTTTTTTTTTGCTGTGGATAATGCACGTGCACGCTAAAGAAAGGAACGAGGGCTTTGTTCTGTGTATCCATAAATCTAAAATCCTAGGAATGATAGATATTTTGTGACTTTTTTGCTTTACATTCTATAGAAATAATCTGTTATCTTTGTTGAGAACTTTGTGAATAGCTGTTAAAGTTTGTCTGGATTCCTGACTGGATGACATGTATAGAACTGGTTGTATGTAGGTTATTAGGACCAGCTGTTAGTTCTGTCAGTGATGGGGGAGGTAACACATGTCATATTAAAGGACTATATGGCAGACAGGAGGTATTGTGGCCTTCAGTCCCCTTCACACATTCACACTAAAATCCTTCTGACATTTTGCTTTCTCCTTCAGCCCCTTAACTGGAAGGTGTAACATTAAATGTGATTATGTGCAGCAATATGAGACGCACATTCCCATGATGCTCACCTCAGAAGTATGGGTAGTGTGTAATAAGAAGAAAAAAACGTGGACTATTGTAAACAGTCCATAAACGTGGAACAGACCGTGTCCTAAGTTTTATAAACAACTTGGAATCATGGGAGTTATATAATGTCTTGAAACTCACCTCACAAGTGGATTAGACACCCCATAACCCAAATGTTAAAAGAACACCCTGCCATCATATTGTCTCTCTCCCAGGTCGAGATCACCTTTAAAGGACATTCCCAGGGGATCCCAAAATAGACAAGAATGCCCAGTTGTCCATCTCTTGTACCAGCCCGCCCCTCTTTGCCATCTCATATAACATCTGAGTCATGCAAACTGCAGCCATAGGCTCCCAAGTTTTCCTTACAGGGTGGGATACCTAAATTAAGCCATGGAGTGACATTGGCCCTGTGTCTGCTACTGTGTTATTAGGGTTGTCCTGCTCACAGGGATATTGCCAAGTGGGATTATAAATCAATATAGGATAGATCGTCTGGAAGTAAGATATATGCATTATAAGTGATAATTTACAATATGATTGCGCTCCTCTTGTTTGGGTTTTTGTTGGATTTTTTACTACTTAGGAAATGAGGTAGATGTTGTTGAGATGAACCTCCACCACCTTCTTCTTCTGTCTCTTTGGTAACCCAATCGTGAGATCTAAAGTTACAACTGTTTAGTATAAAACACATGCATGCCATCAAGTTTTTACATCTGCCCAATGCTAGAACTGTCACCTTTGGGTATCACTCTGCTCTGATAATTATTTACAAGGTTATTCACAAAAGTTGAATAGTTTGGAGAAGGTAGGAGAAGTGAACAGTCTAGGCCAAAATAGCTGACCTGGAAAGTGAGCTGAATTGGAGAATGTTTCCAAATCAGCTATTTTGGCCTAGATTGTTCACTTCTCCGGCCTTCTCCAAACTCTTCACCTTTTTGTGAATAATCCTGTTAGTTTGCATTACATAACAGCAGCAGGAGTGAGACTCATTGGCAGAGAGGCAGAATTGAGATTCTGATTAGATGATATTGGTAGTGGGTTCTCCAAAGGTATAATGAGACAATGGATGATTTAGCTCACTGCTTTAGATGCATATATCAGATTTATGTAGATTTGCTGGTTTAACTGGATAATGTTTTATAAGATGAATTTGATTAAAGAGAATTTATACAAATTACTGAACCAAAGTTATGTATCCTCTACATATTGATCCATCTGTTCTAAAGACCACAGATGCTCTCAGCCTAAATGCTTTAGACAAAGCGAAACTATTCTCAGCCTCTTAAAAAGAGGATATTTACTTTTTATATTATCTTTCATCTTCTGTTGTAACTTTCCTTGCTATCATCAAGGATAGGATGGGCAAGCATTAGGGCCCATTCAGGCGTTGGCGTCATGGTGCATTGCTTTAATGCACATATGTTATTGTGTGTTAACATGTGTTGCATTAGGTTAGCCCATTCAAATAATTAGCTTGCAATCCACCAAAACATGGACATACACCATTTTTGACAACACAGCGCATCACAACACCTGGTAGTGAGTTGCTGTCCAATGTGTTGCTCGGCAATACATGTGCCTTAAGGCATTGGCACAGTGGGAAAGTGTGTTTCGGCCATTAGAACTCGTGTTAGGGTTTTACTGTTGTCCAGAGCTCAGTTAGAGAGATTTCTCCTTACCCTCCCGGGGACAACCTTTTCGCCAGACAGGAAATGAAGGAAACACTTCAAGAGTAACACAGACGGAAGTAAAATTGCTTTTTCAAAGTAGGGGAAAGCTAAAAACCCTGACAGCCTTTTGTTGTTTGCATACTTTCCCTTACTTCCTGTCTGGTAAAACATTGTCCCCAAAACAGGAAGTGAGGAGAAATGTCTTTTACGGAGCCCTGGATAGAAATAAAACCTGATAGTGTATCCATAGCCTAAAGGGTTAGAACCCCTAAGTGTCAGTCCACCTAAAGCTGATAATTCAACTTCCTGACAATTTCTTATATCTTGAGGACCTTTTTTGGTGAAATCTATCTGCTTGAGCTCCAAGGTCCATACACTGGCTGCGGATATTATGAGGGGCTCCTACTCTCTCTGATGGATTATTTATTTTATATCAAAGACTGTTCAACGGGAATAAAGGGGAACACACTAAAGAGAACAGGACCATCCAAATCTCTCAGGTGGATCAGTACAGATTTGGGAATTATGGCAGAAGGATCACTCAATTTGTCTGTCCGGGACATATAAGAAATTAGGGGCTGACCCAGCTCACCAGGATCCACTTGTAGTTTAAATATCACGTTTGGGTGGACTGAGCCTTTGATAGGGGGATGCTTTCATGAATTAGGAAAGCAAAAGCAAAAATGGATCTGTGGTCATGAGCAGACAACAGACCAGTCAGTCTACAGGTTTAACTTTTCTTAATAATAAAATATTAAATCTGACTGGTTCATAGGGGCAACAGCCCCTGATTTCCCTGCTCTAGATTTAATAGGGGGACCTCCTGGTGTGTTCTTAGATCTTCTGCAAAAGACTTGTGTAGCACACCTGTGCAAAAAGATCTTGGCAGGGCAATATGCTTTGTTTTATTTTTAGTCTGTTGCAGCTGCCTTAGTGCTGCAGAAATAGCTGCAACCCTGGCACTCTATATAAGCTGCACTTTGTAGGAAAAGGCTGGCCACATCACTACACCAAGGTAGACAGAGGCTGTGACTTTACCAATGATATGTTATAGAAAATTATAATCCTGTATTTTCCAGTAGCAGTTGTTTTTAGAGGGATGTCAACCAGGATGTCTGGGTTTCAATGTGTTCTAAAGTATTTCTTCCTTTCCCTTTCTTTTCAGCCGACCAAAACCCAACATGTCTGACACAGAGGAAGTGTAAGTATCCAAAGCAGCATGCATTGCTGAGTAAACAGCTGTCAGCCCAGGCATTTTTGTATTAATATAAACAACATACACAAATCCCACTCATACATGCACATATCAACCTTTAGGTAAATGTGGACATGCAAGAGTTATATACAGTAAAGGTCAAACTGTGAGGTTAGCCTACTTTTTAAGGCCAGATTCCTAAACATACACAGTATTTTATAAATTTTAAACTCAGTTTATTATCATTTTAATCTAAAATGTGTATAATATGTGCAGCAGATTTATTTAGCCCACCTTTGAAATAGTTTTAGCTTTCACTAAAAGCGGAGATGACACCCAGGTAAGGCCTGGGTGTCATCTAAGACAAGGCAATGAGATAAGTGAAAATTATTTTGGTTTCTCAGCATTTGCTTTATTTCTAGCTGCATGCTTTACAACAGCGGTAGGCAACCTGGGCATTGTTATGGAACTACAGGTCTAACAGCCGCAGGCCTGACTGCTAGAGGTAAAGACATGATGGGATTTGCATGGAGCACCAAGGTTGCCTACCCCTGGTCTACAATTAATCTCCCTATTTGTTCATTGATGGTTTTATTTTATAAGACAGTCAATGAGAAATGATGAGGCACAAAGTGAAGTCATAGCACCTAACTCTGCTCATTTGGAGGGATGGAACTAATTTAGTCTGTTTCTTGTTTCTCCTCAGTTGTTCCTTTTATTGTCTAGCGTATAGACCTATAGCAATAACATGTATTATGTTATCAAAAGTTTTATACTACAGTAAAGCTTTTATTCAACCTTATTTGCTATTTTAAAAACTAGTATAGAGAAAAAGTAGCGGTAAAAAGAAGCACTTGTGGGTTCAAGCAATGAACTTTTGCTTATCAGTTCTTC